TTACCTTGTTTATTATTGTCTTCTTAACGGTATTTGTTTACACTGTATTCTGTAATTAAATCATATCATTATCAATAAAGCAATTATCTGGTGTTTTGTTTCTTTTACAATTTGACAATTATTTTGGTAATGTTGTCAATTGGGAAGAAATAAACAGTTCTTGATTACACAGACGAAATATCCAAATCAACAAAATTTACTTGTACATATAAAATTTGAATTAATTACAATCAATAATTGGAAAGTATTTGCATGTTTTACATATTTGTTTTATTTATCCTATTTTGTCGAGATAGAAGGCCTCCTTCAACAGGCAATACGATATATTTCATAAGAGTTAATTGGAATACATTGTCCAAATAAGAGGCGATTTTGTTGTCATAATGAATATCTTAGTCGGAATCCCTTGTTTTTTGCATAAGTAAATTTCCACCAGTACTACTGACCTTGGCCCTTAAGCGTATAAGGACGAACAAATGTATCCTGGTTGTAAAAATATATCAACGTTTTAAAACCGGGATTCGAACACTGGACCTCTGATCACAATACGATCGAGTGGTACGTTTCCTGGACCAGTCCGACTACCAAAACGAAATTAAGGGGAGGTTACTATGTGTGGGATTGAGACAAAAATCAAAATTGAAAACACTACACTTCCATAACATCAAATATCCTCATGGTGACCACTACATGTTTGAAGTACGAAAGGGTTGATGTTGGCAATGCTGTTTTCTTTAACCGTTAAAAGTCTCCTCACTTATGACAAGTGTAACAGGAGAGGAAAAATGCACGACCAGACTGGGGTTCGAACCCGGGACTCTATGAATGCTAGACGGACGTTCTAACCAATTGCGCTACCTGGTCGCCGACGATCGACTCAGTCCAGGTCCGCTACATGTATGGAGTACAGATGTTTCCTAATTCCTGAAGCTTTAAGGATACCTGTCCCGCTGCCCTGTAGATTTAACCAGGTTGACCAGGTAGCTTAGCTGGTTAGAGCAACAGTAGAACAATTGTAGGTCTGGGGTTCGAATTCTGGTCTAGCCCGGTGAGTTTTGCTGTAAAACATGTTTGTTAATAGTATTCTGTTTATATCAAACACTATTTTTTCAGAAGATCCCGCAAGGTTTGGGTTTCTATTCAGAAATGATTTATCAAAACCATAGTCATGCAGGCAAAAACAGTTTCCAATGAGTAGTTACATATTTTGGCCATGGTGAGGGGATCCTGAAATAAACACATCAGACTACAGGTCACCTTCGCTAGCCAAGTGTTCGCTTCGTATACACTCCTCTTACAAAATGTGTGTATACGAAGCGAGCACTAGGCTAGCGAAGATGACTACAGGTATACATTGGGATCATTTTAATCAAGAGAATGTACCACAACGAAGGAAAAATGTGCGATCAGTTACTAGTTTTACCAGTCAAGACGTGGTAATTAAAATTCCAATTAATTAAATCACTACTCCACTTTTGTTCCCTTTGTGTAACACTACAGTGCGGGGCTTATATTCCGTGATGTTACGAAAATCAGTAGGACATGAATCGGTGAACTGATAAACGATGAAATAAATCAGGTCAATATTCGTTTTCAGGTTTTTCAAAATCATGTCAAAGATATTCTTTAACGACGAAATTTGTCAGACTGACTTGTACCTGCAGAAATCTTTAAATATTTCGCAAGTTAGAAATAGTGTTACAGGTCGGGAAGTTGTAAAGTATATACAAAACGATACAACTTATAATATTTAACTGGACGATGCTGTAAAAAACAAAGCGATTTCCATGTTAATAATGAATTACTCAGTCGCCTTTCCTTATTCTATGCATAAGTACATTTATATTAGTTACAGTAATCTTGACCCTAATTTGAATGTATTTAATACCCGTGTGAATTGTCGCCAAAGCCTGACTAAAATATGACCATTACAGCGATAATTAACGTATTTGGCTGACATCATTTAAAGTGCGTGTGAGCTTATTGGAATGGTGCAGTGTCCGGCGTCCGTCTGTCCACCAACTTGTTTCCTTTGAAGAACGTTTTCTTTAAAGGATAGTATATGTAGAGTCAGGGCAAATCTTGACATGATCCGGTCACTGTGCACAGAGGTATAGAATATGTGTGTGTGCACTGTTCGTCCACATACTAATTATCTATGGCAGTTTGAAGCTTTGATTCTAGTCAACAGGCAAATGAGTCACAAACATCACATTAGTAGATAAATCGCCAAACAATTGGTCTATGTATATCATTTACCGTCACTTCGGAATCAAACCTTTCCACAAATACGTAGCAGTCGCACGCAGAGACTGCCTTATGTAACATTAGGTTTCATGATGTTTATAAAACATAGCTGGGAACACTATCTTTATTATTTTGTAGCTTGTTTACATATCTGTGCAGTCTAGTTGTAACGTCCCTCGAGTGCATTTTGAATGTGTGGTGTACACGTTTCCGTCACAGTTCATGAACCACAGGTAGACGCACACACGAGTAACAGGATATGTTACCTGTTTGTTAGTCGTGTGGAGGCCGGCCACTGACAATCGATATGTATGTGTATAGACAGGCTATTTAATGCTTTGGGTCCTTGAAATATTTCTGTATTGTTTATCAGTTTACGGACTGGAATATGACATGCAAATTTTGGACGTTAAGGTTATTTCATACAGGCTCATGTCAGTGTATATAGTATGAGATTGGCTCATAATCTTTCCTCAAAATGATAAAAATATGGAAGGTGGTTGGTATACCCATGTCAAGAACAATGTCAATTTGCAGAAATTATTTGATGAAAATATTGTTGACTTTGTCTGAAAAGTAACGTTTGAATGCAGAATTTTAGTGGCACAAAATTGCAATGAATAATGAAATTAATGAAAAAACTTACCTGAAATACATTTTTTGTGTATGTTTTGTTTATTTTAAAGGAAAAAAACATATGATAAAAAGTGTATGATATTTCATTATTTTACTTATATTCATAAAAATGGTAACAAAAACAATGATGTATATATGTATAAACAAAACAGTAACAATTATACGTAAAAAGTCAACATTTAGAAATTCCCAAATTCCTACAAAATGATATGGTTATTAAAATTTGGATGGGGCTTTGTAAATCAATCTTTAAATTATTTTCCATGAAAACGCAGTTATTCCATGCCAACAATTCGTTTGTTTACATTAAAAGTAGACAGCATTAAGCGGAAGCGGCAAAATCCGGAAATTTGGGAGGGGATGTGATATCACTTTTCTAGGGGG